TCGACCGAACCGCCCGATTACAACCATGATCATACCAGCCAAGCAAGCCACTGAACAGAAACTCATGCCCAGAGAAGGCCGGCGCTGCGAGCATCAGCATCATAGGCGCCCGGCCGGGCCCGAGAAGCGAGCATGAGCATCGGCGGCTTGTTTCCTTCTTTCCAGGGCAAGCCGAAACACTTCCTTCTCATGCCCAAAAAGGAGGGGGTCGGCCCCCCCTGGCGAAATGCAGCTCCAGGTCTAGCTCAGGAAACCGGCACTGGCCAGACACTTCGGGGGACCCTTTTCCCACACCCCCTTGTTGCAACCTTCCGTTGATAAGAAACTCCGCTAGCCTCGGAGGCTAGCTTTCGTGATTATCGGGCTTCCCACGGGTATCCCGCTACCACTACTTTCTCTACCAGCAGGGTGGCCAGCTCCTGTTGTAAGATGCTGTCGAAGGCCTCTTTGACGTCTAGCTTGGCGAAGCGCGCTTTGGCTTTCCAGTCTGCGGTGATGCGCGCAAACGCGGACGGATGGCACTACTGGTGGTAGCACGAGGCATCCAGGTATTGGCATCGCCTTATACAAGTAGTCGAAAGCACATCTCTTCTTCTTCTCTCTTCTTCTCTCTCTCTCTCTCTCTCTCTCTCTCTCTCTCTCTCTCTCGTGGCATCGAGCCTCCTCTCGCAGCGCGCCCGGAGCTCTGCTTCGTCCACGCTCGGAAAGAGCCGCGGGAACTCGGGCACCGCCTAAGCTCGGGGCTCTCAGAGAGCACGAAAGGGCCTTTTAAAACTGAAAGTGTCTCAAAGGGTGGAACAAAAAGGTCTCTCGGCTTTTCCCGAGCTTCCATGGGATCTTCCGAGCTTCGTGGGCTCTGCGACTTGACGGAGCCATGCAAGCTTGCGATCACCACACAGCGGTCTTCGTCGTAGTTGTTTTCTGGGAAGAGCACACGATGAGGGATCGTTGGCGTGAAGATCAGCACATCTCCAGGTTCCACCTCTTCGAATCGCCTCCTTTCTCCGCCTTTGAGCTTGAACTCCAAGGTTCCAGTGCCTCGTCTCATACCGCTGAGTGGAATCCAGACGCGGACCACCTCCTCCGCTCTCGCCACAGCGGAGATCACACCCACCTCAGACGCACACCACGCTAAGCATGCCGGCTGCGCGAAAAGCATGCCGGCTGCGCCCTTCGCTCTGCTCCAAGGCGCATCCGTGTGGAACTTCTCTGCATCTGTGAACCTTACAGAGCACGGAAAGAAAAAGATCCGGGGGGCGGCTCTCCGGCTCCTCATCGCCGGAGGTCACTTGGGCCCCCTGCGGGGGGCAGTGCGGGTTCACGTTCAGCTGATCCACAATGAGGCGCACCTCCTTGCACCTTCAAACCAAGCAGGGCCAAGGATGTGGGCCTCCATGGCCCATATTGGCCCATGGCGTCTTAGCGTCTTCGAGCCTTAAGAGCTGGGCCACAAGTGCCGGCACATTGGAGCTCTTCCAGAAGTCGAAGAAGCGGTCGTTGGTGAGGAAGAGCCCAGCTTGTACGTAGTCCATGGAGAAGAAGCTCCGCAAGCCCGTGACGAAGGCAGACACCTTCTAATAGGTGGCACACTGGCGCAAAGCTGAGGCGCAAGCACACACACAGAGACACACAGAGACACACACAGCGCGCTCGCTCCGGCTCGCTCCGGCTCGCTCCGCGGACTCGAGCACCTGCGGGTGCTCCATCTGGTGCTCCACAGCTTCTTTCAAGAAAGGCACCTCAGAGGCGAGTTCGAGTTCCGCTCAGAACAGCTCGGAGGGAAAGCTGAGCTGGTGGCATGCAGTGGCATGCGATTCAGTGTGCAGTGGCGCATGCAGTGGCTTTCGGAGAGAGGCTCTTCTAGACTCTATAAGGCAGCTGGCATCTCGCCAGAGCTCCTGTCTGTTGCTCGGGGAGAGGTGTTTTCTGGCCGCGGCGCCCACTCCGTGATGGCATTGCGGAGCAGCACCACCCCAAACTCCTCGAACTCACGGACCTGCGGGCAAACTCTGGAGTCAGGGAGGGAGGCTGTCGGCTCCGGGCCGCTCCTCGTCCTCGGAGATTTCACGGAGCGCCTTTGGGCGCTCGCGGCTGTCGCGGCTTTCGCCGTCTGAGTTTGGCAGTTCCGCTCGAAGCTTTGGACGCTGCGGCTCGCTGCTCCAGTGCCATCTCCAAACATCCAAGGACCGCCAAAACCGCCCGCTCCGTCCGAGCGGCTGGCTCTGCGAGCTGGCCTTGCGCTTGGCCTTGGCCTTGGCCTTGGCCTTCCGGCAAGCCCTGCGTACAGAGCCGAGAACCCCCGCAAACAGGCAGAGGCTCGCCCTGCTGCGCCCGCAAGAAAGCCCCTCGCCAGTCCCAAGCAGAGAGCCGGCGAGTGTCGCTTTCGCCTGCAGAGCCTGCGGAGCCGGTGACGGCGCCGCTGCCCGGAAGAAAGGCAGCTCCATGCGCTGAGGGCGCGCTGCGGCGCGGATGCGACTTAAGGGACGCTTTTTGGAGCCCACACCATGCGCAACAACAGGAGAGCAACCGCTAGGGCGTGTCTTAAGGCAAACAAGGAACAAGGCGGGAACTTAAGGCTTAAAGGCTTAAGGCAAGGCAGCAACTAGACGCTCTTCTGCCTTTCCGTCCGCGAGTGCCCCGCGGTGCCCGCGGGTCCGTGCCGTGATCGGAGCGGAGGCGAGGCCGCGAGGCCGCGAGGCCGTCCGGAGGCCGTCCGGCAAGATTCGCGGAAAGCGATGCGCTGCATGGGTCTTCTTTAAACGCTTCCGTGTTCACCTCAGTATTGCAGTTCCAGGAGCTTTCGAAGCGTTTCCGAGGTGTTCTGCCGTGCCTTGCACCAGCGCTTGTAGGCACGCTCGTTGAAGTGGATGATCAGCTGGATCCAAGCCTTGCGGCCCTTCGCCCTGGACCGTGACGGGACGAGAAGAGGAGGAGAGAGGAATGACTGATACACGCAGACACAAAGACCTGGCCTCTCCATCAGATGGTTGAGGACCACTTCGTTATCTGTTTCGGAGAAGCCTTGGAAGAGCTTGTGGTGCGGGAGCAAGGGCCCGAAGTGAGGATCTTTGGCCGTGAAATAGAAGCAGAACTCTTCCAAAGGCCCGCTTTGAGACAGCTTCCCCTCAAAGTTCAGCGGGCAGAGCTGCCTGAAGTCCTCCGACATGAGCTTGGCCGCTTCCAGAAACCGGAGCTTCTCCTTGAGATTCACATTGCTGGCCGTGGCATGATGCACCGTGTCCGTGAGGATGGCGTGTGTGAGGAACATCCCGGCGTAGGCCACCAGGGGCGAGTAGATCCCCCAGCGGACAAGGCTCATCTTCCCGCCGCCACGCTCCGCTGCCTCCGCTCGCTTTCGGATGAAGTTCAGGACGTAGTTCAAATGCAGCTGCTCGAAGGCCACCGGCTCTCCGTTCGGCAGGAGCTGCGCGAAGATCTCCTGACTTTGCAGCCGCGACACCAAGGCACCCAACAAGGCGCCGAAGCTCCCCAAAGAGGATCTCTGACTCTCCTTCTTCGTCTTCGTTCCGCCGAAGACCAGGACACCGCTGTTGGCCTGCTGCAAGCGCCCGTCCCCAAAGGCCGCCTGCTGCAAGAAGCACACCTCCGCCCCTTTTGGAAGCGCAGCAGCAGGCGTCCCAGGCGTCCCTTCCTCTTCCTCCTCGCTCTGCGTCAGTCCATCATCTGCCAAGCAGCGGCGCAGAGTGCTCGTCCAGCCCGGAAAGACCTGGACGTCCTGCAAACAAGGCAAAACAACCATCACACCTTAACTCGTGGCCGCGAGGCGGCGACTGCTCACAAACGGCCCGCGAAAGTGTCTGAGATTCGCACGAAAAACCCTGAAGAAGAGTTTTCTTCAGCAAGCTCAAGCTCCCACCCTCCCCCGGCCGCTAGCCAGCCAGGTGTATCTGAGCTGGCGAAACAAGTTCGGGCCAGTGCCAGGTATTCTTGGGGCTTCTTGCGAGATTCATGGAAAGGACATTGCTTTGCGCAAACACGTCCACCTCAACGGTTGGAGCCGACAACAAGTTGATCTCAGCATTTCTTGACGTGCAACTTGACGTACCCGCTGAGGTTGAGTAATGTTGAGTACCTCTGCAGCAACCTCAACAAGGCTTTAATACACGCAAGCGGCTGCAAGCTCTTACAAAGCGGTCCAAGTCCATGACCACTAGCAGCGGTGTCTCCGAGAAGGCCGTCTCAGCTTCCAGCAAAGCCTCCGAGCACTGAGCCCTCGCCACTTGAAATTCTCTGATCGCCGGTCTTTGCCTCGAAGAGGAAGAGGTACTTGGCGTAGTTGAAATAGAAGACTTTGTAGCTCGGCGACAGGGAGCCCATGAGTTTGAAGCCCTCCAACTTGGTGTCCTTCATGTCCGGCACCCAACGCACCTGCACTCTCACAGCCTCTCCGGCCTGCCTGAAGGAGAGCTTTAACCTCTCCAGAAGGAAGCGGTAGCTTTTCGAGGCCATCAGCCAGACCACGGGGGTCTTCTCCGTCATGTCCGTGGGTCCGAAGGACCAGTAAGCCTCCTCCGGCTCCTCCGCCGCCTGGAAGTGCTGCTCCGTCCAGGTTTGCTTCTGCCCCAAGTGCCAGCAGCCGCCGCTTCCCCGGCTCCGCAGTTGCAGCCGAGAGTCCTGCGAGAAGCCGCTGCTCCGCAAAGTCCTCTCTTCACCCCTAGCGGCCCTACAAGTAGCTGCTACTTCTCTTCTCTCACAACAGGGCTCTGCAAGACCTGAACTGCCTTCGTCTCACGCGTGGTCCTGGAGGGCCAAGTAGCGGCCGCCGAGCTCGCTCCTTTCGTCCTGCTGGGCCTCGGCCTCAGCGCTCCTGAGCCAAAGGCAAGGCTCGCTGGGAAGGCTCTCGTGGCCCTCGCCGGCCCTCTGGAGCTCCCAAAGCGAGGAATGCAAAGGCCCGTCGCAGCGGGACAAGGAGATCTCCTCGCCTTCCGCGCAGAGCTTGTAGCCCTTCCAAGAGATCTCCACGAAAACGGAGACCAACTCATGGGGACCCACCTGGACCCGAGACGCCCGAGACGCCCGAGACGCCCCAGACACGCCCTCGACCTCGACTCTTCTCACCTCGAAGAGAGCGTGCTCCTCCTCCTCCAGTCCCAGTCCGCAGCCGGGAGCCTTCGCCAGGAGCCTCGGCCTGGCGCCAGCTCCGCCAGCGCCAGCTCCGCCGCCAGGAGCCACGCAGAGCTGCCGGTGCTCGAAGCGATCTTGCAAGGACTCCGCCAGCGAGGGGCTGAGCGCCAAAGTCACCTGCACGTGCGGAGTCTGCGCGGTCGCTTCAGCGACTGCAGCTCCCCATTGGCTGCCAGCAGAGGACGATCGCGGGGCAGCTTGCTCCGCTTGCTCCGCTTGCTCCTTGCGAGCGTCGTCATTACGGCGCTGTCTGCGGAAGGTGGCAAAGCCGGGCAAAGTGCTGAGGAGCTTGGGGCACGCAGCGTAGATCCAGCAGAGTCCCCAGGTCAAGCCCCGGCTTCCTTCCCTGACCACCGTCGTGTCCAAGAAGGAGACGTGGGAGCAGCGCGCCAGCTCCTGTGACCGGAGAAAGGGAGGAGCGGGGGAGGGGGCTCTGCTCTGCGCTCCTGGCAGCGCTGGAGGCATCGCCGCAGATTCGTCTCCAAGCGTTGGAGCTCCCAGCTCTCGCCGCCGGAGCCGCCGCAGTGGCCCAGGCCCGCCAAGGCCCAGCCCGAGCCCGCCGTCGCTGTGCTAAGCGAGCGGTGACGGTGAAAGGAACCCATCGGATGCGAAGCTGCGCCCCATGGGCCCCATGGCGCGGGGAGAGGGCGAAGGGCGCGGAGGCTCCGAGCGCGGACCTGTAACCGGTTCTCTTCTTCCGCTCTGCCTGTGAGAGAGGCCACACGAAAAAGATCTGGTAAGCACAGCCACAGATACATGTTCTTAGAAATCTATGTGCAGGTGCCAGCAGCAGGCGCTGGGTCCTGTTGCCACTCACCCCCAAGCGGAGTCATGGCTCTCACCAGTCCGCTCCAACGCGCAGCAGTGCTTAGCACTGGGCGATACGCAGCTGTACAGGAACTGCCCATGTTTCGACGAGTCAAAAGCGGGAAATAACATCAACACAACGAGTCTCAATGCCTCACGTGCCCGCCCTCGGCTCGAGCCGAGGGTGAGCCGCTCAACCTGGCCATAAGTCTTCAACGGTGAGTCGGTGTGGCAGTGAGGGCCTTTGCCGGGCCTTGGCCGGTCAGAAGTGCTCCTGACAGAGTCTGAGAGCCCAATGGGCCCAAGAATCAACTTTCCCTTATTGCCTTGAAGAAGGAAAAGCGGGTTCGGTTCCTCAGCATGAAGACTAAGAGCTCTCTTTGCTCACAGCCTGGAGAGTTCCCCGCGAGTGCTCCGGCGGGTCGCTGTGCTTCAGGCCTCGGAATCTAACGACGTGCCCTTTTACGACTCTTACGACACGACGAAGTCATGCGAAGTACAGCGATGACCTGGCAATGACTGCGAAAAGAGCAGCTCTGGCGCGAGAGCTCCTCTCCGATGATCGGGGAACCGCAGAGAAAGACGCCGACGTGTTCACCCGAGTGCTGGGCCTGTCAGCTGAGAGAGTCCCCGAAGAAGCTCAGCTCTCTCCTCTCTTCGCCTTGCAGCCCTTGAAGATGCGGCCCCAGTTCGGACGCCCGAAATACTGGTGGTGCACACCTAAGAGTCAGAGACTCGTGGAATTCCGAGGTCGGGGAATTTCTCTGGGAGCGCATTTCAGCTCCTTCACCGCCGAGAGCTCCACCTCGACAAAGCATTGGCCCTTCTACCACGGCCCCAAAGCAAGCCGGCTCGTCACGGGCCTCACCGGTGGTGAAGAGGTTCACCTCGATACGGTCCTGTGTGAGGCGATGTGAGGCCGAAGGCGGGGGGCGAAGGGGAACCCTTTTACGAAGCCTTGGCAGGGCCCTCCACGGCCGTGGCCAACAAATCGTAGAACCAGTCCAGCTCCTCCCGCGCGCCGCGCTTCTTCAAAACGTCTGCTATTTTCTTCGCGTTATCTCTTATTTGTGTTATTTTGCTCTCTTCTTGCATTGGGTGTAGAGGATTTATCCAATCCCCCCCCCATGTTTTTTTTTGTCTCTCTCTCTCTCTCTTCTGTCCTGCTGGTTGCGGACGATCCAGTAGAAGTGGATGTATCTGGGCACAGGGATCACCTCAAGGCGCCAGGAGGCAGCGGGAGGGGGAGCGGTAACGCGTTTCTCGCGGAGGGGCATCGTTGACGAGCTGATCCACCAGGTCCTGTCCCTGGCTCTGCTGAAGGCCGAGGCCCGCTTTCGCCTCAGCTGTGCCGCCGTGCCGCCCTCTCCCCGCTTCTTCCACTGCCTGGGCACCCGCGCACTGGAGACGGGTGCCTTCTCCTTCTCCTTCTTCTTCTTCGACTGCAAACATTATAAAGGGGTAATATATACCCCTTTGAGAAGGGGGCGGCCCTCTGGCCTGCGCTCTGGGAGGCGGTGCCTGCATGGTCGGCCTCAGCGAAATTGCCGTCAGCGTAAAGGGCGGAGGAAAGCTTCGCTCAGCTCCAAACTCCTCCAAGGTCGCACCCAAGGTGGCGCCCACGACCTGCCCCCAAGCCGCAGGTCGGACCCCTCAACTCATCTCTCTCTCTCTCTCTCTCTGGCTCTCGTTCGGGACCCCCACACTGGGCGAGATCTCCGTCAAGCCCACGATGCCAGCCGTGGCCGCACTAGCCGCCTCTCCTGCAGCGGGATCCGCTGACCGAGGACTCCTCGTGCCCGCCGAGATCGCTGAGAGCCGGGCGAGAGCTGCGGACTCCGGCCGATGCCGCCTGCAGCAAAAAGGGAACTCTGCAGGGAAAAGCAGCACACTTTTGCCGGGACCTGGGAGGTCTTCTTCCTGCAAACAAGAGTGCCAATTCAGCTTTCTTCCACCTGCGCTCCTCCGCTGAGCCCACGGCTTGGGCTCCGAAACCTCGAGAGGTGAAAAGAAGAAAAAGAAAAACCACAGCGCTGCACCCAAGCTCCCTGCAGGGAGGTTCAAGGAAGCCCGCCGCCCTCCAGGTCCATCCTCGCTGGCGGAAAGCGCCTGCGCCAAAAAAGCGCCCAGCCGGGGGCGCCGCTGGGCCGCTGGGCTCTGCTCTGGGCTCTGACTGCGTCCCGCGGCCTCCTTCTCTTTCTCTGGGGGAGCCATGGCGTGGCTGGCTTCTGCCCGTGCAGGGCGGCCCTTATTGGGCGCCACTTCCGTATCGCCTCGCAGAGCCAGCAAGGGACAAAAAAGCAGTTTGGCCCGAGTTTCGGAACAAACCAAGTCAGTTTCGGGGCAAAGGTTTCACAGGTTTCGGAGTCGGAAACCAGTAAACGGATCATTCGCAAGCCTTGAAGCGGACCTTTGACTTGCGACAACTGCGAGGACAGCAACTACGCAGACTGCACACAACGAGGACGATGACCGTCGTCCTAAACACATGCACGACCAACCAGCAACACGACCGCGATCGACGACGACCCACCATGGCGTGAGGAGGGGCTGGGTGTAAGAAACGCGATGAATCGTCATGGCCTGATGAGACGGCAGCGTTAAACGATGTGATCAATCGCTAACGCCTAATGAGGGACCTTGCTTAATGAATGTGATCAACCGCCATTGTGTGTTGAGGTGGACGTTTATGTGTGATCAACTGCGTTCGCCAAAAAGCAGGGCCGGTTTAGATTAAACGCTGTGGCCTCAGGAGGGGCCGGGTTCAGGCAACATTGGTCTCATAAGGCGGGGGAAAGAGGTGGGATCAGACTCCATCGTCAAATGGCGGGGAGAATTTGCCCACCCGCCATTCCGGTTGGCTTAAAGAGGAGATCGAGCGCCATCACTTAACACTGCAGATATTAAACGGAGGGTTTACGATATGCGATCAACCGCCAGCAGCTAATGAGGGGCCATTGCCGACGAGGGATCCGGTTAAGAAAACCAGCGCGGTGTAATCACAGGCCATCGCTTGATGAGGACGCAGGTCTCGAAATCTGTGACCCTCATGAGGGGCTGGCGGTGCGATCAAACGCTTTTGCCAATGACGAGCTGGCAAAAGAACTACCAGTGGCGAGTGGTGTGATCAACCGCCATCGTTTCATGAGCAGGAGTGTTTAAGAACTGCGATCAACTGCCTGCCCTTAACGAGGGCCAAATTTAGGACATGTGATTAAGCACCATGGCAGGGCAACTTGCCTTCGCCGTGTGGCGACTTGCCTTCACCATGTGTCTTCGTAAAGCCATAGTGAAGGCACGTCGTGAAGGCGATGGCCGCTTGCGTTCACCCTGTGTTCATGGCACTAAGGCGACGGCCGCTTGGCCTCGTCGTGTGGTTTCATGGAGGCAGCGGCCTGTTTCCTTCTCCGCATTGTTGTGTGCCAAAGCCATGGTGCAAGCCACCAAGACTTTTGGCACCAACTCCAGGGCAAGGGCAACGGCCGCTTGCCCCCACGGTACATCTTTGCCACCAGGTGAAAGGAACACCACCGCTTCATGGCCGTTCGATTGGTGGCCAAAACAAAGCGCGGCCTCCCTTCACCTTCTGGCAAAGACGGTGACAGGAGCCCGGCGCAATGGACATGCTGATACTCTGGCGGTTCTGGCCAATCGAAACAGCCCCCAAGCCCTTGTCACGGTTCATGAGGCGGCACTTCGTTACCACGACAAGACGAATCAAGTCATGCGGGCATTGCGCTAGATCTTCTTTGGTATAGCAGATGCTGGACAACACGACCGAGCGAGGCAGGGCCGTCGTGAAGTGATTGAAGTTGACTTCCAGGCCTTCCCAGCTGGTTCTCGTCCTAGGCTGCTTGATCTGGAGGATGCCCTCCCGCTCAACTGGAGGGCGAGAGTCACGCAGAGCAGCTCGGAATTTCCATGCAGCTTCGCCATCAAGGTGTGTGAGTACCTCTTTCTGCGGGATGCTGAGGCAACAGAAGCGCATGAGCTTTCCTGGCTTGAGCTGGTGTTCATGCTTCACAATACCGGGCTCGATCCGTATCCTGCTTGTGATCCCAACGGCAAGTGGAGAGATGTTAGCACTTTGGCTTTTTTCCCGCCGGCACGCACAGTTGCCGTGCGTTCAGGTCTGCTGCGTAAAGTCATGCGTCCACTTTTGCGAGTTCTGGGGCTCGATGGCCTCATGATCCAGGGGATTGATCTTTCGGATCTTGGTGCTAATTTTCGGCTGGATGGCGCTACTATCGGTGTTTCGGCCTCAGACTCGCTTCGTGCTCGCACCAGTTTGGGTCGATTTATACGGGGCAGGACCGCTCACAGCAAAGCAGTCCTAGCTAGACCCATCTGATGAGCGCTATTCACCTCGGGATGGATCGCCGCGAGCTGCACTGCGCTGCTGTGCACTCGCATCGTGGCAAGTGTGCGCTACATGTGGTAGTTGGTGTGGTTAACCGCCATCACTTCTTGATGAGGAGGCGGAGCTTAAATCGTGCGCCGTTTAATGAAAAAACGGGTTTACGAAAACTTATCAACCGCCATCGCTTAATCAGGGGGAAGGCCGTCGCGTAGTGAGGCGGCTGGCTTAAGAACATGTGATCAACCGCCATCGCCTCGTGGGGAAGTGGGTTTGGGGAGCAACCGCCGTCAGAAATCCGATCAAGAGCATCCGCCTAAGGACGGGCTCTCGACCAAGCCGCATCGCCTAGTGAGGTGCCGGTTTTTAAGATGATGAGCTGCCGCCAAAAAAGAGGAGCCGGTGTTGAGAATGTGCCAAAAATCGCCTTGCACGTTT